GGGAAACAAAATATGTAGATACAATGGATTATTTTTCAGGCTTAAAAGGAAATGCACATGCTACATGAATGAACCTAGAAAACATTACACAATGAGAAATAAGCTCACACCAAAGGACAGATATTGTGCCTTTCCACTTTATGAGGTCCCTAGAAGTCTCAATTTATAGAGACAAAGGAGAATGGTATTGCCAGGGTCTGGGGAGGGGAGGAATGGGAAGTCAGTGGTTAATGAGTATAACATTTCATTTTAGCAAAATGAAAGAGTTCTGGAGATTGGTTATAAAATAGCGGGGATGTACTAAACACTACTGAACTATACATTTAAAAAAAATTTTTGTAGTTGTAAATGGACAGAATGCCTTTATTTTATTTGTTTATTTTTATATGGTGCTGAGGATCAAACCCAGTGCCTCACACATGCTAGGTGAGTGCTCCGCCACCAAGCTACAGCCCCAGCCCAAATTATACATTTTAAAATGGTTAAGATGTTAAATTTTATATTGAAATGATGAAAAATTTCTGAAAATAGTGGTGATAGCTACACAATGAGGATATACTTAGTGCCATTTGTGTTCACACTTAAAAAGGTTAAATGGTGGAGTTCATGTTTATTTTACCACCATAAAAAATGGCTAATAAAAGACATAAGGAACTGGAAGGTGGCATCACTACCGCTCTTGCTCTAGCCAGGATGGCCTCATCTCCCCTTAACTCACGACACTGCAACACCCTCGGGAATGTATGTGTGAAGAAGCCATGAACAGTTTTCACTTCTGTAAGCCTGCCCACCTGTAGGTTGGGAAGGATAGTCACCTATTTCTGATGCAGTTTCCCCAAATCTATTTCTGTCTGAAAATCGATTCATAGACATAGACATGACGTTAGTCCCACGTGTTAGCTTTGACTTTTTTTTTTTTTATTTCACTTGAGGTTTTTACAAGGAAACCCATGTGAGATGGAATTTGCTGTGGGTCTCAAAACTAATGGAATCACTCATTCCACAGACATTTATTGAGCATCGACTTTATGGGGACACGGAACTGAGCTAAAGAGAATAAGAGGACCCTTGGGGACTTGCAGCCAGTTAGGAGAGATGAACCTGTCAATAAGTAAGTGTATTTGAGTATGCGTCACAGGTGCTGTGATGATGTGCTGTGATGATGAGCTTTTCTGTTCAACACCAGAGAGGCTGAATTCTGTTACAGGCTCAGTGTTGGGCCAATTTTCTATTCCACTATTAGATACATTTGATCCTTGAATTGCCACCAAAATGATCATGGGCAGTGAACTACTTTGTTACGTATATGCTCTGACATAAACAAATGTTATCTATAGGGAAAACCTGGATGACATATTTTGTAATAATTAGAGCAATGTTTTAAGGGAAATTCAATGCCAATTGGAATGATTCCTACCTAGTAAATTGGCTATCATATACTGGCAAGATAATTACAAAATAAAATTACCATAGGGTAAGAACGATTACCTGAGCTTCCGAATTAAATTCTCCAAAACTAAAGAGCCTGGACCTCAGTTCCAATTCTGCTGCTTTTTCCTCTTCTCTCACACAGTTAGCCTTAAGCATTTCCTTGTGCTCCACCAGGAAGTCAATGTTGCTATTTCTATTGCAAAAGAAGAAAGAGTCTGGTCTGTAACTTGCGGGTTGGTGAGATAACCAACAGGGGCTTTGACACTTATTCTGAATCATGTGTCAATATCCTGTGCCTAGCAAGCAAACTGAAGACTTTGCTGAAGTACACACAGCAAGGTTCAAGGAGGAAAAGAAATGCTCATTTAAATGCTGCTTTCCAGAAAGGCATTTTCTCCCCCTCACCTACATTTGTGGTTTTCCTCTGGTCCTACAAATAGAGGGTGGCAGAGCCCAAGCTGCGGTGTCACCTGCTGTGCAAGTGTCCTCAAACCTGAGACCTTCAGCACAGCTGGGGAGACACGGGAAGAGCAACCCCTGGCTCACCTGTTCTTAGCTTCTTACTTCTGAACAAATGCATTTGTTCTGAAGCTAACTGCAGTGTGACCTGTCATTTAAAAAGATTATCATCTTCAGGCCCAGAAAACTGTTCCAAGAAGGTTCTACATATTTTTATAATAGGTAGATATAAAGGTCTATTCTCTCTGACCTGAAGCTCTTTTTCAAAACCATAATAATATAAAATTTTAGAAAGAATTTTGTGAGTTATTACATCTATCTCCCTCTTCTGACATAAATCCCTCTAGAACAGCCCTGACATATTGATAACATACTATGAAATGATACAATATTAAATATTAAATTGTTATTAAATGATGTTGAATCTCAGCCAGAGAAAATGCATTGATTAGCATCCAAAACATGATTTGATTAAGGAAATGATGGCTCGTCAGATGATAAGGTGAAAACTATACTGGGCAAAATAAGACAGCTGGTACCATTTTAATTGTTTTTGGTGTCCTAAACTATTTTTATTATTAGAAGGAAAAGTACTTTGACAAGTGAAAGGAAGTCGGGACAAAATGTTGCAAAATGTTGCAAAAGCCAGTCTGCTCTGTGTAAACACAGCTTCTGCTACTTATGCCCACAAGGTGAACTACTATGAATGATCCAGCCCAAATCCAAGGAGCCGTGAGGACCAGCCCGCATGAAGCCTCTGGTCAGAAATTTTAACAGAAATTTAAACCTACTTGTTTTGAATGACTTACACCTTATCATGTATGACTTTTTCTCTTTTTTTTACATCTTCAAGATTTTCATCTACATCTTGGGAATATTGGACCAAAGTAAGATTCTGCTCTTCCAGTTCTGTGAGGACTTGAAGTAACTCTTCTGGTTCCTTGAAATAAAGCTCTGGCTCCTGACCAAGCAACCACAGACAATAGGATTCACTTACAAAAGTGGCCTCCTCTCCCCCCCACCCCACCACACCCCACTGCTCCCCAGGCCAGGTACCAGTCCTCAACACAGGGCCTCTAGGGGACAGTTGGGAGCCAAACTGTGGCGACTGTTCTGATTGTGAGGGAGACACGGGTAGACAATAGTAGGTGCCTCATGTTATCTCCAAGGGAGAGCTGGGTCTCAGGAAGAGGACATTTGGGTGTTGTGGGAGAGAGGAGAGCCATTAGGGAAAGGGAGAGAGGAGGAGGGTCAAGGAAAAAAAGAGAAGAGGAGGCCAAGGCCAGGCAAGGGAGAAGGAATAGAAGAGAGCAAATGGGAGGCTAAGTGAAGGTCACTTTCTTCCCACATTATAATTGTTTTATATTTTCCAAAATTTTAG